TATCTATCTATCTATCTATCTATCTATCTATCTATCGATGTGTATCTCATTTAATTGTCAATTTTTATTTTCACTTAATTTAGGAGAACAAATCACAAGTGATTTTAAGTAGTCATATATAAACATATACATATAAAATACAGACATGTATGGGTGTCTTGTATATTGTGTGAAATGTTTGTTTTGTGAATCAAAACAAACAAATTAAATGAGTCATTATAAATATGTATATATATATAAATTGACTCATTTACTCAAAAATCTGGACAGAGAGAGAGAGCGAGAGAGAGAGAGAGAGAGAGAGAGAGAGAGAGAGAGAGAGAGAGAGAGAGACTATGTATATTGTGTGAAAGTTTTGTTTGTTTTGTCATTTCTAAATCACAAATGTGCGTTCATTTGTGCATCCAATTTTCATAAGTCATCATGACTCAAAATGTATTATTTTTACTCAATTCCAGTGCATGAATGAACGCCCCAATATTTAGATTAACAGTTAACCGATTTGTGTTTTTTTTAAATGGTTGGTTCAGTCCTAAATATGTGGTTGCATACTTGTGAGAAATATACTAAATATACTATTCAGACTCGCGCTCTTTTGAAGGCAGACAAAATATCTGCTTGGCCCTCTTGTTCAGCAGCTACAGACAAGGATGAAAGATAAATATAGAACAGTCATTTACAGATTTATACTAAGACGGTATGTAAGTGTTATTTTTGTTGTGTCTGATTGTGTGTGAAAGACGCACTAACCCTCCACAGTGATCTCAAAGGTGCAGCTGTCATTTGTCTTTAGCAGACACTTCACACCTGTATCCACCTGCGTCTCCTGGAACCACCTTGACGATCTTCATCTCGTACGTGTAGATCTGAGAAGGAACGAGTGAAAGAAACGTGCCACATTTAAGGATGATGTGTAATAAAATACAAGTCACAAATTCATTTAAGTTGATCAACTAAGTGTAAAGAGAATCTATATTCTATTTTGTAGAAAAAGGCCAATGTCAATGTAGTACTAATATAATTATTTAAAGAATTTAGAAGATTTCTGATGATAAAATGAATACCTTTAACATTACAGTTTTGACATACAAATGAGATAATAAGATTGAAGATCCATATTATGGAAGCCCATTTCTGCCATGGAATAAAAAATAAAAAAGGTAATTGTGACTTTTTATCTCACAGTTCTGACTTTTACTCTCACAAGTCTGAGTTTATATCTCACAATTCTGAGAAAAAATAAAATCAAAATCGCAAGATATAAACTCAGAATTCTGACTTTTTTTCTCTTAATTAGTTTACATCAAGCAATTCTGCATTTTTCTTTCCGCTACAGAAGAATAAAAAAAGAACTGCGACTTTTATCTCACAATTCTGACTTTTTTCTTGCAATTGCAAGTTTATATCTCACAATTCTGATTTTTGTGATTTTTTAAAATCTTGCAATTCTGAGAAAAAAGTATGAATTGTGAGATAAAATGTCAATTACATTTATTTAATTATTTTTTTTATCCTATGGTGGAACCAGGCTTCCATACAATGCACCATACATTCATCAAACCTGGATATGGATGAATTTAGACACCCTCTTATGATGAATATTCTTTACATTATATGTAGTATTAATACTATATGTGACAACGCACTCCCCTCTCACCTTAATGTTTCTGTCATAGGACTCTTTTAATTGGATGTGTTTTCCAGCTTTGCTGCCGAGGTCCATCCACTTCCCCTTCAACCACTTCATGGTGGGTTTACGTGTGAGGTTAGTGGAGTCCACCTTAACCACAAATGTTACATCTTTACCTGTGTTAAACACACACACACACACACACACATCTAACTTTTAATGATGGTTGTTTTGTTATGACAACTATTTGGAGCTTTAATAATGTGTTTGAGTCTGTGTTTTTATACCTGCGATGGCTACCACACATTCTGGCTTCTCTACAAAAGTCCTGTCAGCTCGGTTCGTTCTGCAAGCATGGAAAAGGTATGTTATATAAATACAAAAATACACACACACGTGCAGACAGACTCGGATATTCACAGATAGGGATCCTGTAAAACTCATGGTGAAAATGGTGTCAACAAAATGCACGCTCTGTTTACATTTTAAATATTCCTTGCAAATATTTAAGCATAAAACAATAATACATTGGGTTGTTTTCTTAAATTAACAATGAATGGCATTAATGATAGTATCACTGAAATAACTGAATTCTGGGTGAGCTTCATGCACAAGGAAGGAGACAATTCTTTCCTCTTCTCACCCTTTTGCAGTCATTCATTTTAATATTTTATTCATTTTTATAATAGGGCAGGCTAATTATATTTACATACACCTCCAAATAGGAATTATTGTACATTATATCACAGAGTCCTTTCATGCACACCAACTTAGATCTCGAATTCTAAGTGACTAATTTATATAGTTAGTATGTGGTTTAAATGATGCCAGGAAACCATTCAGATTTATTATCATCCTCTTCTGGAGCTTTTGCAGATGAAAGAACAACGTTAATCCTAAGAAACCTACGGTATTCGTAACTCTATATTTTTAATATTTAAAGGTCTTGTCATTTGGAAACAGTCAACGCAAGCTAATGGTGTCACTTGCCCTCTGGCTTCACCTCTGTGGGAAGAAATGAGAAAAAGTGACATTAGATAAGAGACTAAGTAAAAATTCAATTCATGTATAATATAGTGCATATATTTAACTATATTTTTATGATTTTACCGATATGCTCTTCTATAAAAGTTCTCATACCGAGCTATCGACACTGACTGGCTTTTCTGAGATAAAGGTGAGGTCAGGTGTTGTTTAAAAGCTGTTTCAATTACTTCTTTCCGCTGTTGAAACACTGATTGGGCGATTACATGAGAGATTATCCTTTACGGTAAGTTTAGTACTTTATATTTCAACATACCTTCTGATGTTCATTCATGTTTTCGTGCTTTAACTAAGAGTAAAAGAGGAAGATCGATTCAAATGAGCTCCGCACTGCCGTGGGTTACAGCGATCCGTCACGCAATGTTTTAGTGTCAAAAACACATTTATTGTTTGAATTCCGTAATTACACTGAGATAAATTAAAAAGAGGTTCGTTCTTATAATATCGTTTCTTCACAACTGCTTTTTGCTATATCAGTCTAGCGTTAAATATTAAGTGGCCTCCTGACGTAACTCATGAATATTAATAAGGTCACACCACTGAGGTTCACATATCTAAGTGACATTTTCATGATGTATTCATTTTGACATCGGGTCTATAGTTGAAATTTAATTTAATTAGAAATAAAAACATTTAAACTATTTTGGTTGTAGTACATTTATTGGCATAAATATAATAAATGCAAGCTCAATTTATTTATTACAGTCAAGGCTGATAGGGTCGCCCAAACGAGTAAAGATTTGTTTTGTACTAATGCTATTTTAATTCGGACTTTCACATTTCACATTATGGCTTAAAGCGATAGTCATATTGACTATGTTCACAATTGCGCAAAATGTTGGACGAAAATCCTAAATACCGAATTGGTGGTGGGGTTTATTTGTATCTCTGAGGGGAACTGACTGTCTTCAAAAAAGTTTAAGATGTTTTCTTTTCATTTTGCCTCCGTAAAATGCATATTAAAATAGTGTTTATAAGCCAGTGCTGCTTTGTTACAGCGGTAACCAGGGAAACGGCGTATCGCTGCTGTCCCATAAGCGCCACCTGGTGTCAGAGAGTGAATCTGCATCTCATTCAGTCCATCTGCTGTTTCTGCTTTGTGCAGATGTTTTATGTAGCATAATTTCACAAAGCTAATGTCAAGACCATTCTGTTTTTGCTTCAAATTTTAAAATTATACAATCTAATTTAAATCAAAAATCGCTCATGCTACATGTATGTAGCATCTCCATTTGGATCGTGATTAAAATGCAGTGGTTGCCCCTAATTTTAAATTGCTAATTGAGCAAATAAACAGCTTGTTCATGTACTCATATTTTAATTCTTTTTTGTCTCTTGCTTAAAAAAAATAAAATATTTAAAAATATAAAAAAATAGGAATTGGCCCATTTGCTTGAAAAAAAATGGGGGTAACACTTTAGAATAGGGAACACTTATTCAAATTAACTACGACTTTTCCCTCAATAAATTCCTAATTTGCTGCTTATTAAAGGAGACATATTATGCCCCTTTTTACAATATGTAATATAAGTCTCTGGTGTCCCCAGAATGTGTCTGTGAAGTTTCAGCTCAAAATATCCCGCAGATCATTTATTACATAATTTTGAAAATACCTATTTTGAGTGGAAGCAGAAACAACCTGTTTTTCGTGCCTGTCTCTTTAAATGCAAATGAACTGCTGCTCCCCGGCCCCTTTTCCAGAATAGAGCTGAGGCCATTACAGCTGGTACCTGCTAAAAACATCTGTTTTGGTTCTGATTATCATGTTTATCGTGCTGAAATCATGAGTTTTAAACCATATGAGTTGAAACTTCTGATATGGTTTTCTGAGCGCACACATCCAAAGCACACGGACAGAAAGCGGCTGTCACAGCATGTGAGTACTAAACTAAGTTCTCTTTCACACACAAGTTTACATTAAAAAAACAAGACTACTTATTGTACGTATCTTCTCAAGTAAACATATCTTGACGTAAGCATCTTTTAGACATTTTCACTGGAAAACAAGACACAATTACTGAGCAAGATTTGTGTTCCTTTCAATTTAAACCTGCAGAAACCCTGATATGTGTTACTTAGTTTCAGCATCTGCAGTTGAAAAACCATATAGGTTGAGTGCTATTTTTTTCTTTTGGAGTTGGATGTGTTGATGCAACTTCATCAAGCTGATTCCACTCTGATAATGAGAAACTCTCTCTGATCATGTGGTCTGAAATAGCAGCATGCCTAATATCCTCCTCATTCTTAGGAGGGCAAGTTGTTTCCATGGTGCTTGTTAAAAGGCCACGGTAACATCGTGACCTCTCTTATGTCAGGCCAGGAATCTAACCATCGACCACACCGATGTCAAATAGCAAACATCTTACAGACAGGCTCTTCTGGTCAGTCAAATTACTGTCAAAAATGACTGACCTCAAAGTATAAGGACCGTAACCGCAGATATGCTGTGATTTGTTTTAGGTTAATCGAGAGGACGTGCCACATGCAGTGTTTCTGTGTTTGCACTTCAGATTGATTTTAAGTAAACTAGGTGACTCATTACAGTTTAATTATGTTTTTCAGTGTCCAAAATCTTTTAAAAATCAAGTAGGATGGATCAGGAAAGCTCTGCTTCAGTTTGGAGGATGTTGTTGCTCTTTTAGGTTTGTATAAAATATGAACCCTCAACCCATGATGACATTTGTCTGTCTTCACCAGGTTCTTTTTTAAAGCACCGTATCGCATTTCAAACCACACATATAACTTAAGTTGGCATTTAAAAATGGCAAGATAATTAAAAATGTAACTAAAATTTTATTTCAACCCTGAAAGCAGCTGGAAAAAGGACTGCCTTAAAACTCTTTAGATGACTTTCAGTCTACATTGATTAATCCTCTCTAAATGTAATTTAATTTATGTTATTTGCTTTTATATATTTCAGCATTTCTTTATTTATAAGTAATTATTTTGTCTTATTTATTTGTTTGTTGGTTTGTTGACTTTGACATTAAAAAAATTAAAATTTAAATCATTAAAGCAGCTGAAAAAATTATTGCCATTATTTAAAATTAATGCATTTATTTAAGCATTTATTCATGCATTCATTTTTCTCTTTCATTGTGTTTGTTTATTTTGTTATCTGAAAAGATTTAATAAAGGTTAAAACACATCTTTTAGACAGTGATGAGCAATTCATTCATTTAGGAATTAAAGCAATAAGCCCCGATAAACCGTGGTTTACAGTGAATTTATAACAGATAAGGGGCGTTCGCAGAGTGCCTAAAACCCCCTTAGCTGTTCAGGGAATTTGACTACTGAAAATAAAACATTTTAATGAAAAATTAACAAAATGGCTTTGATTAGTTCATTTTGCCGAACGGAATTCAGTAAAATGATCCGATCTTCGAATCCTGCTCCAAATGTTATTACTAATGTACATGTTGCAATTCCAATTTAAGCCGCACAAATTTCACACTTCGCCTACTATAAATTGTAATATTATATAATCAGTTTGTCATTCATTCATGTACTGTACTCATTTTGTATCACCTTTTGGTCTAATTGCCCCTCCATATAAACGTAAATAACTCCTGGCAATAACTCCACAGAAATGTGTTATGTCTAGGGGTTATGGTTTATATTTGGTGTATAAACACCTCACTAGTAAGAAACTTTGTCTTCATGATTCACCTAAGATGAATATGTGTGTGTGTGTGTGTGTGTGTGTGTGTGTGTGTGTGTGTGTGTGTGTGTGTCAGAGGGATTGTGGCGATACTCAACACAGTGTACTACACGCTGGATTTAGCACATTAGGACGGTAAGCTCCCTGTCTTAGCACAATTCCACACACACACACACAAGTATATAACCGGCAGCTCCTGACAGACCTGCTAAACATCCATCTATATCACTCAGGCAATTCAGATCTTATGCAGAATATTTTATAAAAGCACCTGGTCACACTTTACCAAATCGGCGAATCTGGGTGGCAGATAATGCAGCACGTAATGAAACCGGTGCCGAGGTGGCTGTCTATATTTGTGCACGTAAATGACTGATGCGGCGTAGTGGCTGAGACACAGTCTGTCAGCATTGTGCCCCTGAGCAAGGCACTTGATCCCGGGTCACTCCAGGTGAATGTAATTACTAATTTAATATTGCAACTAGCTTCTAATTAAGCAATTTATGGTCAAATCTGGACTGATTAGACATGCTCCTTTTCAAAGTTTGTATTCCTACTGATTTTGCTATCATAGCTATTACATAGTTGCATTTTATAGTTGCATTGTTTTATTTGCACTTTTCCAGTGCTGTCTGTGACATACAGTAAATAGACTTTAGTACTACGTTCTTATGAGGTGGTTCTTTAAGTTATGGACTCTTGACCTGTAAGGCAGATTGTTGTTGGTAATAAAATGTTCTGGCAGCTGCAGGGTCATAATAAATAACTGGATTGATACAGTATCTCAGTCATAGGTTGTTGGCAAATGCTAACTGTTCTCAAGTGTTAAGCATGCATTACATGCATGTTTTTCTTTGCATTTTGTTTATTTGTAAATGAGCAACCGCAGAGCATTATTTCCAGAGACCACATTGAAAATCTTGAGTTGTTTCATTTAAACCTGGAATTGATTTAGTTTAAATTTTTGTAAATTGAGCTGATTAATAATGTCAGTGTTTGGTTTTGGATTAAATGCAAAATATTAGCATTTTCACTTTTTTTTTATAAGAAATTAAAAATTATTTTACATCTGCAAACATTTGCAGTGGTTGTTACAGCAATTGTCTTGGACTTTATTTTGACGCCTACCATTGTGAATATGCACTACTGCTGAAAAGTTTTCATTTTTGTTTTCAAATAAATTTTTACTTTTAGAAACTTTTGGCAAGGATGCATTAAACTGATCAAAACTGATGTTAACATGGTTACAAATAAATCTTTCAAATAAATACTGTTCTTTGAGCTTTCTATTCATCAAAGGATCCTGAAAAATAAAATGTATCAGAAGCAGCACAACTGTTTTCAACATTGATAATAACCAGAAATGTTTCTTGAGCAGCAAATCTGCATATTAGAATGATTTCTGAAGGATCATGTGACACTGAAGACTGGAGTAATGATGCTGAAAATTCAGCTTTGATCACAGGAATAAATTACATTTTACAAAATATTCAAATAGAAAACAGCTATTCAAAATTATAATAATATTTCACAATATTTATCAAATAAATGCAGCCTTGGTGAGCATAAGAGACTTTTTTTTTTCATTTAAAAAAATCTTATCGACCCCAGAC